AGCACGCAGGATCCACCACCAAAACAAATTGCGAATCGGAATCTGAAATCGTTTCATGTGGAAAGAGGAAAAGAAAAGAAAATGAAAGAAAGGCATATCATCATCAATCGCAGTCAATTTCTAGGGTTTCATATGAAGAAATCGATCCGAGCGATAAAAGCTAAGAAATGAAGCAATGTACATACAGTTGACGGCTCATGAATCAGGATCTGGCGTTTGAGACATTCATCGACGACAATCGAACAGTGGCCGGGCTTTTGAGCTGATCCAGCTGTTTGTTACCTCGGCGGAGGAGGTACTCGATGTAGATGAAGTTTTTGGGATCGATTTGGTCGGCGTTCCGGCGAAACTCGGCGGCGACGAGCGATTCCATCTGCCGCCGATCTTCGGCGGATTTGGAGCGCGCCGCTCGTAGAAATCCTCTGTAGAGACTGAGCACCTGCTTTTGCAGCCCCGAAAGCTTCGGCCTCACACCCATCGCATCTTCTTCTCGAAAACTCTACCATTTTCTTCTTCCAAATCCCTTTTAATTGAGTAATTGAAGAAACAAAATTTACCCCTTTTTTGTTAGGTTTTGGACAGGGCCGGCTTTAAGTTATTGGTGAGCTCCGTAATAGAAAAGCCTCATATTGATATCGATTTAATTTAATTTCTAATTATAAATTAAAATTAAAATATAAAAAATACACTTATTACTTTTCATAAATTTCTTCTTACAATATTAAAATTTCAAACTACTGAAAAAGTCCATAACAAGTTCATTAAATTTTCAATTTTAATTGAATTACATTTCAAATTGGTTAGCATTAATTTTTTTTATTCATATTCCTTTTAATCCTTCTCAAAAATATCAATTCATTAATGCAGTCTCCTCAAAATTCTTCCAAGTTTACGTTGGGAGAGTGAGAGACCTTCCATATTTCTTTATATTTTTATTTTGTTTTTAATAACCAAAACTTTTCAATTTCTCTAAAAGATTTCATGAATATATTACCTACTACTCATTAAATCTAAATATTGATCTCCCCCTCACTCTCAATCTCACTAGTCAATACTCTCCCCCTCTCACTCTCAATCTCTCTCAAATCTCAAACTTTCAACTTGTTCTTCTGCATGGTCTCCCGAGATTATCAATTGCTACAACAAAAATTGAAGCTTTTTATTTCCTCAACTCAATCTAGTGGTTTCAAAGTTCCAGGGTTTTTCGTTCAAATTCTTTTATTCTTGTATAAATTATTTCATATTATTGTATATTTCTTAGTACCTTAATATTTTATATTTGTTTAGATTTGCTTACTTATAATATCAATATGTCTACCAGAAAATACGAATCTGGATATGAAAAGCTTAAAAAGAAAAGAAGAGTAGAAAAACTAATTGAATCTCAAAAAGGTGCTCTCGATAAATTTTTTATTGGAAGTAAAAGTAATAAAAATGATGAAATAATAGAAGAAACGATAGGTGTAGACAAATCAAAATATGAAACGAAAATTGTAGACGATGATATGATTGTTGAAAATGAAGCATTTAATCATGAAAAAGAACTAGAGAGCGATGGGGAAAGTGAAAAAAAAAACACTGATGATATTAGTATTGATAATGAGATAGGTATGATGCATTATGAATATAATATATATGATCCAGGAAGATGAGACAACATTGATTCTAAGTTAATTGATTTACTGGTAGAAAAAGGTCCCATTAGAGAAAGTAATTTAATTTTTTCGAAAGATGAAAATTTTAGACATTTTTCTTATATTCATTATACTAAAAAATTATCTAATGGCGAAAAACATGATAGAAAGTGGCTAGTTTACTCAAAGAATTTTGATAAAGTTTATTGGTTATGTTGTAAGTTATTTGGTACTAAATCGAATACAGTTCAATTAGGGAATGAAGGAGTTAAAGATTGGAAAAATCTTAGTTCTCTGCTTAAAAGTCATGAATCTAGTAATAAACACATATTTAATATGAATGCTTGGAGTGATCTAAAAATTAGATTGTTAAAAAATAAAACAATTGACAAAGATATTCAAATATTAATTAATAAAGAAAAAGATCATTGGAATAAAGTAACTAACACATATTATTGTTGTTGCTAAAAATCTTGCTAAAAATAATTTAGCGTTTCGAGGAAGAAATGAAAAAATTTTATCAAGAAAATAATGGAAATTTTTTAAGCTTAATTGAAATGATTACATAATTTGATCCAATAATGCAAGAACATGTTCGTCGTATTCAAAATAACGAAATTCATTATCATTATATTGGACATAATATACAAAATGAACTCATACAACTATTAGGACTTGAAATAAAAAATACAATTATTGAAAAAAATTAAAGAATCAAAATATTTTTCAGTTATATTAGATTGCACACCTGATGTAAGTCATCAAGAACAAATGTCTCTGGTATTGAGGTGTGTTAATATTGCTACAAGTCCAATAGCTATACAAGAATATTTTTTAGAATTTTCAAAAGTTGAAGATACTACTGAAAAAGTTTATTTGATGTGCTTATAAATACAATTAAGTATCTTAAACTTGATATATCTAATATAAGAGGACAATGATATGACAATGGATCTAATATGAAAGGAAAACAACAAGGTTTACAAAAAAGATTATTAGAAATAAATCCTAGGGCATTTTATAAACCTTGTGGTTGTCATAATCTCAATCTAGTACTTTCTGAGTGGCTAGCTAATGTCATAGAGCTATGACATTTTTTGGAGTTCTACAACGTATCTATTCTTTATTTTCTTCATCTACAAAACGATGGAAACTCTTGCTAGATCACATAACCACTTTGACTATCAAACCATTGTCACAAACACGATGGGAAAGTCGAATTGAAAGTGTTAAAAGCAATAAGATTTCAAGTCCCTCAAATAAGGGATGCTTTATTGAAATTAGAGAAACTAGTGAAGATCCTAAAGTAAAAAGTGAAGCTAATTGTTTAGCTACTTATGAATTTGAAAATTTTGAATTCTTGTTAGGCATGACTATATGATATGATATCTTATTTGCTGTAAATTATGTGAGCAAAGTCTTACAACATAAACATATGCATATTAACGTTGTTTTAGATCACTTGAAAGGTTTAATGTCATTTTTAGAAAAATAGAGAGAAAATGGATTCACAACTGCTATGATTTCAGCTAAGGAAATTGCAAATGATATGGAAATACAACCTATATTTCGTGAAAAAAGCACGATTCGAAGAAAAAAACAATTTGATGAGAATACTGATATTGAAAAAACACAATCACGTGAAGATTCTTTTAGAATTGATTACTTTTACTATATTATAGATCAAACAATTTCTTCCCTTAAAAATAGATTTGAACAATTTTAAGTATATGAAAATATCTTTAATTTCTTATTTGATATGAATTTTTTAAAGTCATTAGATGATTATAATTTGAAAAGATATTGTATTAATCTTGAAAATACATCAAAACACGATACATTTTCTGATATTAACGGTTTAGATTTATTTTTTGAATTAAAAATATTAAGAGAAGTCTTGAAAAATGAAATGGATTGTCCTATTAAAATATTAAATTATATAAACAAAGGTAAATGCTTTTCCAAATGCATATATTGCTTATAGAATATTATTAACAATACCAGTAACCGTTGCTTCTGCAAAAAGAAGTTTTTCAAAATTAAAATTAATCTATTTAAGGTCAACTATGTCACAAGAAAGATTAAATGGATTGGCCATATTGTCAATTGAAAAGGATATATTAAAGAACTTAGATTATCAAAATTTAATACATAATTTTGCATCTAAAAAGTAAGAAAAATAAATTTTAGATGATATTTTCTATATTAAGGCCTCCCTATCAAAGTTTTGCCTAAGTCCCCGTATTATCTCGAAATAGATAGAACTATGTTTAGGTTGACATAAACATAGTGAGATTAATTTAGGCCTCAAGTCACCCAAGTTATCCTAAGTTTAAAACAATGACAATTTAAATTAGTTTTTAAATCAAAATTCACTTGAGAATCACCTCTCGAGTGATTGACTATGGATCACTTAAAGTGATTGTGGATTTTGAATTATTGTCAAACATGTAATTTCAAAATGGTAATGACTCCCAAACAAGCCTTTATTAAAAGTAAGAGTAAGGAAGTTAACAAATTTCATGGGAAATTGACGTATATAATCTAAAAAGTTTTAGATACTGTTTAAATTATCCAAAATCAGAAATTTCACCTTTTTGATCTAAGAGAAGTTTTTTTGACACGTCAAAGACTTCAAAAAGATGAAATTTTTCCTAATTTATATGGAAATGTTCAAACTTTTGGAGGTAGAAGTACTGAGAAAACTCGACCTAGATCGCAACCAACTCGACCGAGTTTTTAAAAGCTTTTGACCAAACCCACTAAATTATCACCAATTTTTTGTACCAACATTAATTTCATTCCATATACTTTGTACTTCTGTTTAATATGGTAGAGAACAAAATCTTCTTAGAGCACGAATATCTCCGCACCTTCTTCATTTTTATAACCCTTTAAAGAAATCCATTTTTTCAACGTGTAGATTCTTTGAACGGTGAACTCCGCGAATCAACATTTGAAGGTTGATTACATTTCATTTTGTTATCTTCATTATTTTGAAGGAGGTTAGTTTGTTATATGTTTTGAGTATGAGTTGTATTTTTGGAGTTGAAAGACACTCAAAACTAGGTCGATAGCATAATTTTTAACTTTTTACTTCAGTTTTGGTTAAATCTTGGGTGAGTTACATATGAAACTCGAGGGAGTCGCTTAGGAAATTATCCAACGAGTTTTGTAAATTTTCAGAATCTTTATAAGTGTTTTTGTAAATCCTTGTCGGGAAAATTTTATGAAGTGAGTTGCATATGAACGGTTAAGAAACTCAAGGGAGTTGCTTATGAAACCTAGTTGAGTTTTGTAAATTTTAGAATCTCGATCAGATTTTAGTATGCTGAAAACTAGTTCCGGGTCGAGATTTTTTCCAGTATGCTGAAAACTAGAGCCAACTCCCTCGTGTTTTAGTGAAATTCGGAGATTGCAGAATTGTTTCGAGGGAGTTTGGGCTTGAGATTTTTTCCAGACAGTTTAATACTTGACAAAGTTCATCGAGTTTTGCTCTAGTTTTCAACTATGAAATAATTTGGAGCCCCGCTCGGGATTCGCCAAGAAACAATTTCACAGTCTTCAATGCCCACAAATGTAAACTCTAAAACCCAAATCCATTACATGTAAACTACTAAATTATTGAACCCAAATTTGAAATCTCATATATTTATTGTTTAAATTGAACCCTATTTTGAAATCCCCTAAATTACATTGAATCCTGTATTCAAGTCTCGAGGAAACTTCTTTGAGTCTTGGCAACTAATTTTTTCCAACAAATTTATTTAAACAACTCGACGGGGATTCAATGAAACTCGATTGGGATTCATAGAAAACCCCATAATTTCTACTTCCCAAATTCAAAACCTACACTTCATTTTTTCTTTCATACAAATTAAATAGATCCACAATATTCATTAAAAAAAAAGCCAAAAACACGAACACATTTTAATCCCAACATAAAATCACCTTAAAACTATCCCTGTT